ATAATAAATGTTGATGAATTTCCTTCATTTTAGCTGGGCGATTGAAATTTTGACAATAAATCAAAATTTCAGTCGCATTCTGTCTGTGTGAAGAAATTGTTGGAAATACGTCGGTTGATAAAGTATGGTCATTGTTATTATTAGTTACCTCAGTCTCATGCCGAGCATCGTTATATAGAAATAATGAGTCTTCCTCAAGGTGCGTCAGCGGCGTTGAAAATTTACAGGATTGTAAAATTTGAGGGCGGCCTCCCTAGTAGATTGTAGCCGTTGCGTGCGTTCACTGGACAGGAATGTACGGTAGGATTGCAGGTCTGCCAAGGCGTCGTTTCGAGTAATTCCAAGTTCTTCATGGACGTCCAGGAAAATTTCGTGCAGGAGATTTCTGTCTTTTGGTAGTCCTTCAGCTGCTAGCATTAGAATAGCACTGGTTTTGGTGATTCCGCGAATACATGTTGATGATGGCTGGTCATGCAGGAAGGAGAGGTAGGTCCGAACAATGTCTATAATTTTCGGGTCCCTTAGACGCGCCTTCAGGAAGCGTTGGTCGCCAGTTACGGACTGTTCAGTAAGTCTCACTATTGGCGGACGCATGGGGTCCAGAAGAGGAGGGTGTTCTCGCTCAGTTGGTTTTTCAGTTCGATAAGGGTTAATAGTTTCCCCTTTTTCGAAATTAAAGAAATGAAATTTCGTTGGCTTTTATTTACATTTGTATTCTACGAATTTATGCTTACAATCTGTATTAGAGATACCCCTTTTTTAGTTTACTTACTTACTTACTTACTTACTTATCCTGGTCCGACATCCCTCAGGATTGCACCTGCATCACATTGTTACGCCAATTCACTCGGTCCGTGGCTGCTTGTCTCCAATTTCTCGACCGTCCCACACTTCCAAGATCCTGCTCCACTTGGTCTAACCACCTTGCTCACTGTGCTCCTCTTCGACTTGTACCGGCCGGATTCGAGGCAAACACCATTTTTGCGGGATTTTTGTCCGGCATTCTTAAAACGTGTCCCGCCCATCATACCCGTCCAGCTTTCGCAACTTTATGGATACAGGGTTCGCCATAGAGTTGCGCCAGCTCGTGGTTCATCCTTCGCCTCCATACACCGTTCTCACATACCCCGCCAAAGATGGTCCTAAGCACTCGTCGTTCGAAAACACCCAGTGCTTGCAGGTCCTCCTCGAGCATCGTCGACGTCTCGTGCCCGTACAGAACTACCGGTCTTATCAGCGTCTTGTACATGGTACATTTAGTACGGAGGTGAAGTTTACCCGACCTCAGGGTCTTGTGGAGTCCGTAGTAAGCACGACTTCCGGCAATAATACGCCGACGAATGTCTCTGCTGCAGTTGTTATCCGACGTCACCAATGATCCGAGGTACACAAATTCATCCACCACCTCGAACTCATCCCCGTCGATTGTCACGCTTCTGCCTATGCGAGCCCTATCCCGCTCGGTTCTTCCAGCTAACAGATATTTTGTCTTAGACGTATTCACACGTGCTCCACACGGCCTGAAACGTTCTTCCGGCAATGTCCACGTCGTCAGCGAAGCAGATGAACTGGCTGGACTTATTGAAGATCGTGCCCCGCATGTTAAAGCCCGCACGTTTTATAACACCTTCTAGAGCAATGTTGAACAGGAGGCAGGAAACACCATCGCCTTGTCGAAGTCCTTTGCGAGTTTCAAACGAGTCCGATAACGCACCCGATATCTTGACGCAGCACTGTACACCATCCATCGGAGCCCTGATCAGTCTGGTCATAATGAGAGAGAGAAGGATTAGTATTTTCCATTTAATTCCACTACTTTATTTGCTTATCCTTGACAGATACGCGTATTTCGTCTACAATGTGCAGACTTTTTCAGTGTCTTGTACTAATACTCGAAGTCGAGTATTAGTACAAGACACTGAAGAAGTCTGCACATTGTAGACGAAATACGCGTATCTGTCAAGGATAAGCAAATAAAGTAGTGGAATTAAATGGAAAATACTAATCCTTCTCTCTCTCTCATTATACAGGTATTCCACTAAGACGCCCACATTGATCAGGATTCAGTCTGGTCAGCTTCTCGGGAAAACTTTTTTTAGTTAGAAAATCTTGAAAACATATGGGTTTGCGATCTCAAAATCATTTTTATTTGAATAGTCAGAATGTTAAGAATTGTGCATGGATATATATCATGCACATTTTCCTAAGTCCTAAATGTTTGAAATTTATTCTGTGTGCACTTTACCATGTTTCAACTGGAATATGATGATGAAATATTGAAAATCTAAAAAAAACTAGTTACAAAAATCATGGAATTACCTAAATCTGAGTGTTTTCTTAAGTTTTAAGTGCTTAAATTTATGAGTTCCGGACGCCATGTGATGTCATTACAAAAAGCATGAACAAACGATTATTGCTTGTTAAAAATCAGTAAGCTTTTAAGGCTCTCACAATAGATTTCCTAATCGTTGTTATGATATAAATATAATATCCATTAACAAGTTGCCTTGACACCTTCGAGAATTTTTATTTAACCGTAGTTTAGCAAAATAAAAAAAATGCCAAGTTGTCAAAAAAAAAAACCATTTGCTGCAGCTTTAGCTAAAATGTTTTGATTTTGACAGAAGTTCGAACTACTGAAAGTTACAGCAACTTTAATTTGCTGGAAATTTCTAATCTTTCATGAAGTCAAAATCAGCAACATTTTATTGATTTCCAGCGAATAAAATGTTGTGTGTACACGAAAATTTTCAAGTTTCAACAAAAGAATTTTCGGAAATGGGTTCAGCAGAATAATATTATATTGGAATTCAGTATTAGCATATTAATGTCAGAGTATTTGCTAATAATTAGCAACATTATTTTACTGGAAGGTTGCTGATTTTACGTCAAGTCCAAAATTTGCAAAATTTAGCTAACGGGTGTTCAATAAAAAATGAGAATGATTTCAGTGTCGTCCAGCGCTCTTGTGATAGCATCGCTACTAAGTTGCGTCGTACGGCTGACCAGGGCCCCTTCTTCAATCTTTATTGGCGTTTTTTTTTTGAAGAATAAACATTATGTTTTTATTAAAAAATACTGAATTCGTTGAAAAACATTTTTTTTTTTTGTTACTAGCTATAGGGTTTTGATCTAATTTCCGTCCTACTAAGCACAACCTGCGCTTTACCTCTCTTTTCTGAACGAGTTTAAGCAAAAAATTGAAGATTTCTGTCAAATATGACTTATTCACCTTTCCATACGTACCGTTGGATTTAATAAAGAGTCACAAATTGTTGAGATATTGTTTAAAATCTAATACTGCTTCTTGATTCTAAATTCGTCCTACGAGTTTCAATTCCGTCCATACGCATTGAAACGGCATTCGATTTTCTTCGTCCTAAGGATAAACGTAGAAAAAGGGGATTCACTAGGAGCGCTTCTTTTGTTTTGAGAACAATGAGCGTAAATGTTGTAGCTAATGAGCCTAACGCATCGGAACAAGCCTTTTATTGATTTGTGACGGTTAAATCATTGATATTACTGTTCTTTTCTGGTCGATAGAACGGAAATGGGCGATTACGACGAAGTAGTGGTCTACCCTATGACTGAAAAAAAATCTCATTTTTTATTGAACACCCGTTAATTTCCAGCGATTTATTAGGTGTGTATGTTTATTAAAAGAATCATGGATACAATATTTGAATTTTTTCATTTGATGACTAAAATCTGAGTGGGACTGACATTACATTTAACGTCAATGAGAAAAATAACCGTAAGTCAGTTACAATTAGGCATGGAAAATCATTTCCATTCATTTCATACATTCATTTACATTCATTTGCCTCTAACTTTTTTCATCAACAGCATTCCGCAAAATGATGTATAGAGCTTTTGTAGGTTTTGTTCTTCTTTCTTCCTTCCTTTTGTAGGTTTTGTTATTAGCTACAACTACAAATCTGTATCTCTTATGCATCACAAACAAGAGCGGGCAGAACTTGTTACTGTTTTTCAGTGAATGTAAAATACATTCACCGAAAAACAGTAGTGGCTTCTGTTCGCTCTGGTTCGTCATGCATATGAGATACAGATTTGACTTGTTAACAAAAGTTGTAGCTAATAACAAAACCTACAAAAGCTCTATACATTATTTGGCAGAACGCTGTTGAAGAAACAAAGTTAGAGGCAAAGAAATGTAAATGAATGCACGAAATGAATGCAAATGATTTTCCATGCCTGCTTACAATGCCTTGACGATGCTGCATTAGTTAAGCACAGTATTGAACAGTAGAAAGATACCATGGCTCCATAGAACATTATTGAATGTTTTTGGAATTGTTCCACTGGTTCCGCAGATACGTGCCAAACCCACCATGCGATAAATCAATGCACCTAAGAATTCTAAAATAAGATCAATAAGAATCATGATGGGCAACCAACCATACTCGGACATGTTCCGGGTATCCCCGAGCAAAAAGTAAAACCTTTTTAAATCAAAGTCTATCATACGACACATCAACTCGCATGGGATTTCAAAGTCATAACGATTGGTGGTCATATTATGGGTCTAAAGAACTATATTGGCCAAATCCGGACATAAGTGGACAAAAGCTGTCTTGAGTGAAATCTCATGATGCGATATGTTGTCTAACATTCTTAATTCTATTGAAGCAAGTATAAACTTTAAGCCAAAAGCACCAGCTCGTGTTACATCCGAATGAGCTGAAATTTTCAGTGAGTGGTTTCCTCACTTAATGGCACAAATCTGGCCAGTTCAAAAAATTATAAAAAAAAATCTCCCATATAAATGTGGGCCAGTCTAATATGTATATAGCTTAATTCGCACGTTATACTGATCAATGAAACGATGACGAATGACGGCGTGAAGTCGCACAACCGCAGCTCATTAGTATTCATCGTCTCTACAGTGGCTAAATTCAACTTAGTTCCCAATTAGTAGAGCGCCAATTTTCATATTCATATTGCTAACAGTATTTTTGACTTCTTTCTCTCGACCACAGCCACTTAGCATTGACGTAATGGATCTAACGCTGCTACTCAAGTCAATGGGCCTCAAGCTGGAATACATTGACTTTGAGGAGGAGAAGCTCAACACAGACACATTATCCGTGCAAATAAAGTGCAATAAATCTGGCGTTTTGGCCAAGTTGAGCTACGATTTGGTAAACTGTTCCTGTCCAGATAAGAATTACAAGGAAACCTCTTTTTGGGAGGTGCAAGGTACCGGACCATCCGTGTTTTCAAAGTGCACAAACGATACCTCGTCGAACCTTCTGCCGGAAATTTCTGAAAAATGTTCCATGGTATCCAAAGCAATGCTGTCCAATCTACTGGACTACTATCGGTCCAACATCAGGGCCATCGAGCGGGGAGAAGATGTTCTACAATCGCCTTTGAAGGTTGCCACCCCGAAGATCTGTATCATAAGTCCGGGAAAGAGTCTAACTTCTGATCCTTGTGCAACGCCACCTGCTGAAGGAAAGACTGCACACACCGAGCTCCCGCATACTCCCGATAACAGGAATAAATTTGAGTCAGTTGGGAAGGGGGTCAAACCTAGATCATTGGAGGAGCTTCAAGACAGTCCGAAAAAGTCATCAGACGAACAAAATGATGCCAAATTGAACAGTTCTTTGGAAAGCGTAGGAATAGATAATGCCACACGAGAGCTATCTGGTAACGATTCTGCTGAAAAACCCATAATCGTTGGCGAATCTACTCCCGAGCCTGCGCTATCCAAGTCGAACATGCCGAATGATAGTTCGTTCGCTAATAGCGAAGCCATGAAGGCACTGATCACGTCTAGTCCCAATGAGAAAATTTTCGATTCCATCCTGACCGTCGACCAAAACCACGAACGTGACCTAAATGTAATCCACTGCCTACAGCAAGCCCGCCAGCAAATTGACACCGCTATGCTGGTTATGAAGCTGAACAATCCATGTTCAGACCTTACGAAAATCTCCGCCGTTACTACCACTCCCCAAACGGTCATTCGAAACAAGCAATTTGCTCCAAAACACCCAGAACGGAATTCGATGGTTGCTAGAAGAATGTCTTTGCCAGGTTACTGAGATATGTTTTATTAATCAACACATTCCAACAATATCGATGTTTTTTTTTTCTCAGGTCATCCATCGGAACCATCGAAACTTGCCGCTAGCAGCACTCCTGGATTGATGAAGAAGAAACCGACAATTCCATCGCACCTTGTTAAACCAATGGCACCACGTGGAGATACTCCACGTCCCACTGGGTCACAGCTTAAAACCGCTTCACTGTTGAGAAAAGCGAATTCTTCATCCTCGGTTGCGAGCAGCAGTTCTACAACCAAATCTGCACCAACTACGATCACTAGGAAACCGATTGCTGGAGTTAAACCAATAGGTAGCGTACGGCCAACGTCGAGTGCCGCTGGGCGGACAGCGACGTCCGTGGCCAGGTCGGTCAGTGCGTCAAGGCTCGACAAAAAGTGAAATGGAGTATTTTGAGTGCGTGTCTGTTGGCCATATTTATTTATTACTTTTATGGACATTTTTGGCCTTTGCATTTTCGAACACTGCCAATCCACTTTTTGCAGTGTTGTCCTTTATAATATGATGCGTTTTATAATAAAGTTCAATTACAAACTTCAAAGTTATCGAATCTTCTATAGAAATATATATACTAAATTATGCTTTTTTTCGCCTCTATTTTTGATCGTGTGATCTCAAATTTAAACCAAATTAATTGTAATTTGTTTAAAATAAAAACAGAGTGAAATATCACAGACAAACAGACATTACTCTAGCAAGTTTTTCATCGAACAAGCTTTTAACGGTCAATTTAAACGTATCGTAGTTGGTAGTACCACCACCTGTGGCGCGCATAGTTAATTCCCTTGCGTTTAACGTTTACACACTACCGCCATATGTTCAGTGTACTACCCACCGCAGTGTACTCAACAGATGGCAGTAATGTTTTAGGGACGATGTTTTACAATGAGAAATATTCAATGTGTTATATCTGTTTGTCTGTGGAAATATAATGGTGTTAAAAATGCTGTACGCGTCCTACATGAGGGCAAACATATTCTTCAAGAATTTAAGACATTGTGAACAAACTTGATGAAGCTGGTGATAAATGGGCCCAACGTAGTGGTTAGCGTCCAAACCCCTCACGCTAAAGTTCACGAGTTCAAATTTCATCCCTGGACAAGTCATGAATGACCTAATTTTTTTTAAATATGGATGATTTGCTATACCTATCAACCCTGTTCCACACAATTAAAATTTAGATACGGGGCGATTCAAATATGACGTCCATTCTTGATGGGAGAGAGTGGGTCATAGAATGTGTAACTGTGTAACAGTACGTGTAATAAGTATGAAAAGATGCGGGTAAAAAATCCAAAAACTTGTGTAAGGGAGAACAGCCCATAATGCACCCCTGGGGTAAAATGCCCACTTATAGAAAAACAGCGATAACTTTTCCTTAGATGCATTTTCCGGGCAACGGATTGTGTTTGTTTTCAACTGGAGGGCCATTTCACAAACAATTCTTGATCATAAAATCATATATTGACCTACTGATTCCCTTAAAAAAAATAGCATTTTGTGCAAAATATGACACAGTTGATAAAATCGTCGACTGCAAATTAAGCTTTTAACAGCATATATCGGAAAAAATTGAACGAATTCACTTTTCGTATATTTTTTAGACGTTTTACTTCATGAATCATCTATTCACGGTAAGAAAAAAGTACCCAAAATTGAGTTCCTTTCACTCATCACGTGGCTTCCGTGGGACTAGGTAAAATTAAGTTAAAGAAGAAAACTTAATTTTGAAAAATAATAAAACGGAGCGGACTGGAACCGAACCATGGACGTTGAGATTACGGGGCCCGTGTGTTGACCACTCGTCTATCAACGCTTGCGAAAATGAAATGGTTAAAGGCGCATAAGAGCAACCTCAATGAAAATAAACTTATATTTGAGTTCGTTTATTATTACTCAATAGTTGAGTAAATTTTAACCAACGCCGCTTTTCTGATTCACTCAACGGCGGACCTCAAATGATAGAACCCAACGTTGAGTTTTTTTTTAACTTAAATTTGAGTATTTTTTCTTACCGTGTTGAGACCTTATTTCTAATGTAACATAAAGGAATAATCGTTTGGAATACCTCATCCCTTTGCATTATATACTTGCAGGGGTTATGGTTGGTCTATCATGCGGGGCATTTTACCCCAATGTTGTGGTGCGTTTTGGCCATTGTTGTCGAGCGTCTTGCCCCAATGTTGTGGTGCATATTGTACCATGAATCAGGCGTTTTGCCCCGCTATCATTTTGGAACCAATTTATAAAATACCTTGAAAATCATGAAAATTCATCGTTTTGTAGTTCGAAATTACTTGATCTTCGTAGAAAACATGGTAACGAACCATACACCATTACTTTCTTCTTGATGTTAGCTTCCATACGCCAGCAATTGACGATTTTTTTTTTAAACGGTGCATTTTGCCCCACCTAACCCTACATCATATTTTAATCACCCCTGCTAAATTGTACTCATTACAGTTATCTGTAACCTTATCATTCCCCTGTTTGTGTTTGCTTGTGAAGAGGATAAAATCTGATTCCATTTAATGGCTAAATTTCAACGACATTATTGTAAGTGTGCCAGTTATGGCAATGGCAGTAGTGCTCAAATTTGATGTAGTTTTTTATGGCTTTATTTGCATATGGCAAAATGAGTGCAGTTTCGAACCCCTTTGGATACGGTTTTGTTTTAAGTTTGCTCTCTGTTTTGTGCATGCGTTCGCTTTCATAGTTTTCGGCTGCATTTGCCTGATAAGCGCTGGCACTCTGCCCCCCGGACGGTTATACGTGTGTGATTGGTGGTTTTCTCACTTTCCGGGAAACTTTAGAATCGAGAAAGAAAACGTGATTCATCAAGTTTGGAAGCATCAGAAGAGATGTCGCTATCTGCGTTGTTTGATTTTTTTTTCTCTCGTGTTATGTCTGTGTTCCGGCAACATGTTGCCCACTATACCCCTCGGTTCATCCAAATGAGCCAACTGCCCTTACGTCAAAGTAGGTTCTATTGTCAGGTTGTTAACGTTGAAGATAAGCGAATTAAATTGTTGTCATTATACGCAGTAGTGAGTTATACAACGTTTTCCGGTGAATTTATTATCCTAATTAAAACTTATGAAATAACTAATTGTATTGTACTTTTGTTTTGATTAACTTGCTACACAATATTAAATCTAGTTTATTCTGTTGCCGATACAAACACTAATTGGAGACAAATTGTATGAAGGTAAATTGCAAACAAAAGCAAAATCTAATAAATTCTACATTTACAGCTTCGAGCTAACTCACATAAAAAACGAGTTTTGCTGCACAGAATATCCGAAAATTACTTCGTCAACAGTCTGTTTGTCTGTGCTATGTTCATTCATGTCGGTTTGTTGGTGCCCATACATCACAAATGTTCTTCTAATCTAAACTCACACATTCATACCAGTCTGCAAGTATGATACACGTCCAAAGCGTACCAGACTGCTGTTTCCGTGTTGCTCCTGTTTGACGCGTGACTGCTGAAAGTTTCAATTACAACTAGTGGTGCAAACCGCCATGTATTGTAGAAAATTTGTGGTATGTTTCAAGATGTGATAGAAGGTCTGCTTGGCTTACATCAGGCATTTGACCATTCACAAACTTGCCACCCGCCACTCAAAAAAGCTCGCTTTAGGTGCACTATTTAACGAGTTTTGTTGGTCTGCCCTAAAGCTGGGTTTAGACAGGGCAAGTCAATAGATCAATTCAGTTGAATTCAACTGACTTGAACGTTTAAACCATGCCATTCAACTCTATTCAACTGACTTGATCAACTCACTTGAATTGAAAAAAGTTGAACCAGGATCAACTTTTCAAGCCAATTGAATTGACTTGATCAATTGACTTGCCCTGTCTAAACACAGCTTTAGGCAGACCATCCGAACAGAATTTAATCCTTTTTAAAGCAAACCAAGGTCGAACATTCAATTGAGCCACACTATAAAATAGTGTATTCATGGTCACTTGTGGTCTGGAGCTCGGTCTGCAGTAAAGAAACAGCTATACACCCATATTCTTGTTTTAGTTCGACCCGTATTTTCCATACAAAAAACTTTTTTTTTTTTGTATGGAAAATACGGTTTGAACGAAAACAAGAATATGGGTGATAATGTGGCCATAATATCTGTAAAAATATAAACGCATTTTTTAATTATTTACACCTGTGTCTTGTACAGGTTGCACATGTGGACGTTTACAGGTGTTCACCCCTATTCTGTATTTCGTTTCGAACGAAATTCTCATACAAAAAAATATTTTTTTGTATGAGAATTTCGTTCGAAACGAAATACAGAATAGGGGTGGTTTTTATCGTCGGTAAGCATCGGAAGATAGGATTTTCTTGATTCATAAAATGTGATGAATTTTGCTAATTTTTTTGTCATTTTTTAATAAGGTTTTTAGACACATGGGATTTTTGGACAATATTCCAGAATATCGCGATCACTGCAGATCGCAACGTCAAGCATTTTGACGTTTCACTGCAATCTGAAAGATTGCAACTGCTCTCAATTTTCCTCATATTTAAGTAGAATTTTGAAGAAAATCGAGGAAAATTTGAGTCATGAGTGACCCCCGTCTTTGCGAAAGTGAACGGAATTCGAAAAATAAGTGAAATTCAACGGCCGTGTTTTCATAGTATTCCTTCCGCTACTCACCGATAGGTGACCAACCGCCAACTGGTGGCATTTCAATACATCTTCATTCATAAAATACACCTACGCACGTATTTACGTCAGATTCCGAGGTCAAAGCGAAAACTGTTGTTTACATCTGTTGGGACAAATCGAACTATAAATTTCGGTGAAATTAAGCGCAAAACTCCAACCTAATCCGTTCCGCCAGCTACTTCGAAGCCATTCTACAATGGACCGCAGCAGGCGGTTATCGAGCGAAAGTTCCTCCGGCCCGATTGCCCCCATCAATTTTGCCACCGATAAGTACCCATTCTGTATTGTATGGACACCGATTCCCGTGCTGACATGGTTCTTCCCGTTCATCGGCCACATGGGCATTGCCATGTCCAACGGAGTGATACGTGACTTTGCCGGGCCGTACTTTGTCTCCGAGGATAACATGGGCTTCGGTAGGCCCACCAGATATCTCCAGCTGGATCCCTGCTTCGTGGATGGTGGCACCGTGGAATGGGACGAGTGTGTCTCGAAAGCTTCCGTGGTCTACGGAACCCGGATGCATAACCTGTTTTGTGACAATTGCCACTCGCACGTCGGAATGGCCCTCTCGCTGATGAAGTACAAGCAGTACACTAACTGGAATATGGTTGTGCTGGCGTTTTGGATGTTCTTTGTCGGAAAGTATGTTGGCATCAAAGGATTCCTTAAAACGTGGACCCCGTTTTTGATAGTCTTGATAACATGCACCCTGGTGGCCGTCTATCTGAAGTAGGATTGAGACGTGCTGCTTCCAGCAGGTCAGGAATAATAGCAACATGTATTGAAGCAGAGGTTCTGGGCGGTAGATTTATTACTCTTCTTAAGAAGTTTATGTGAGGCAGACTTATAAATGTATTTATTTTAACTTATGTACTGAACTGATCAGTGGAATGTTTTACTAAGAAAAATAGAATAAAGCTTCTATAAACGTGGCACGGTCGCTGTTCCCCTATATCATAGAGAATTCATTACTATATTCCCGGTTAAGATAAAAGGCGTAACGCTTCGCTCTTAAAATGCTTCGCTAGTCCATACTAGCGAACTACGGATTTGTGCTTAAGCGACATTAGGTACCGCGAAGTGTCATAATTCTGAGCAGTGCTTAACTCCGCGCATTTCGCCAAATTTTGCAGTATATTACAATTTTATCTAACTATATATAAATAATATACAATTTATAATTATGTTGGACATTTTTAAAACTGCGTAAAATTAGGCCTCAGTTGCTCAGAATAATGGCACTTTACGGTATAAATAATTAAAATCAGTGCGCTGGGAAGCTTTTCTAAAGAATGGAAGCACAAAATGTTTGGATTTGGCCACGTCCCACTTGGGCGCGTTAGGGGTCGTTTCATAATCCACGTGGAAATTTGAATCATTTTAACCCTTCCCTCCTCTCTACAATTATACAAAAATATGAAAGAAATTGCTTAGTTGTGCATTTAAGTCTTCGATAAGCTTGTTTTCACAAAATTTGGAAAATTAATCAGCTACATAAAATATCATTAACCAGGCTTGCAAAATGCTCATTACAGCTAAAATGCTATTTTTGGTAATTATGAAACTATGAGTTACTATAATGATGATTTTTATTAGTGATTGCTCGCTCATCGTTATAGCTAATCGCTATTGTGACCTTCTGAAAGCTAAATTGACAGGTCATGCACACAGTTTACCTTCTCTTCTTGCATCTTGTAAATAAGAATGATCATTAAACTATTTCATAGCAAATAGCATTTTAGCTGTAATGAGTATTTGCAAGCCTGCCATCAACAATTGTTTTCATTTGATCTCATTGGTAAACATGGTTTATTTGTAATATATTGAATAATATTGTAAAATTAAATAGATAAATTAAGCAAACAATTACAGCTGTTTGATTAATAATTAAAAGGCTATGTTTATAAAAAGGTATTAGCCGATTTCACTCCATTTAAGACGCATGGCCCTTTTGCCTCATAGAATTTAACACTCTTGCCCCATGGCAGACTCAAAAAAGATTTGAGATGATTTTTTTTTGTAAAAATCTAAAACAACTTTTGACGAGATTTAATTTGCATTCAATTGCTGATTTATGAAAGCAACGTTATGAACTTGCAATACGATGCACAAACTCCTATATTTATCCACTATTTGCCATATATAGAACGTACAGTTGTTAAGGTGGCACTCTTGCCCCACCAGACGCTAGTTAGACAAATTTGATGAACGCAAAACCTAATTCAAGATCCAGGAAAAATATTACGAAAGGCTTAAAGTATGTTCCATTTAGAATTTGTCAATTCTCCAAGAGAAAATACCACACAAGAACGCTAACGGTAGGGTTAACTACTCCATTTCCAGCCTATTGACCACTTTGTCAAGCAGTTTTGGCGTGACTTTCTACCAGCGATTTCACAAAATTGGACCAACTAATTTCTATTTTTTTTATGAAACGCACAAATGTTGGCTACTTTTCTCGAGGTTCTAGAAGAAAAAATTTCAAAATAATGTTTTATTTCAAAGTTCTAGTGGTAGTAAACGTCATTTTAGCTGCTCAAATGAAGTGGTTAATTAAGAACAACCCGCACTTAGTGTTTCTTAATCTAGCGCAGTTTAGCACCAAACGGATTATTATTATCACTAATGGCTTCCAAATTTATTTACCTTTCCGCACGTACCGTTAGATTTGATAAAGAGAAACCAATCGTTGAGATATTTTCAAAAGTCTAACACAGGGCTGGTAGCAATCACTGCTGTTAAAAATAGTGATTTTAGTGACCATGTTGATGAAATAAGTGACCAAATAGTGACTTATAGTTGTGATAATAGTGACTAAAAAGTGATCTAGGAGTAAATTTTAATGAAAACTCTTAAGGCACAAGCGCAATGTGGGCGGAAGCGGAACGAAAACGGAAAGTTTGACAGTTGTCACAAATGACATCAAGATGCTTAACCGAAGTCGATTTGGGTCTAACTAGTTTTCAATCCGACAAGTAGGCTTACTCGGATTGGGCTTTTCCTCTGCCGCTGCCGTTCCGCTTCCACTGTCATTGCGCTTGGACCTTTTGGAATTTATTAGGAGCACAACTCCTGTGAGCTTCAGATGAAAATTCAAAGGACATTCTAAGCATAATTTCATAAAGTTTGTGGGAGAAAACGAGTCATTGGAAAGATTTTGAAAATACTAAAAGGAGGATTACAATTAAATTTGAGAATAACTCCAAGACATCTTCAAAGGAATTCGGCAAATGAATTCATGAGAGTTTGCTAAACAAATTATGAGAATAAATCTAAGGAATTATTGAGGAGAAAGCCAATGAATTCCTAGGAGACTTTCAATGTGAGTAGAATTCCAAGGGAAGGAGTGAGATTGAAAAGGAAATCTGAAATGAATTCAATGAATCTTCGGAGAATACTTTCTTTTTGTGGAGAATTTCAAGGTAAGCTAAAAGAAAATTGAATTCGGAGGATAGCTTTACGAAAATATTGTGGAATATTCCAATGGAAATCTCCGTTAAATATGGAATGGACTATTCTGAGGTTTTCAGAACTACTTGAAAGTTCCCAATTTTTTCCTGAAGTTAACCTGGAAGTTAATGAAACTGGCTTGAAGTTCTTTTGTAGTTTAAAAAACTAGCCTGAGCCTAACAATACTTCGCATCAAATTCTTAAACTTCCCTGAACTTTTTAGGGCTTCCTAAAGTTTTCATGGATCTCCTCTAAAGGTTTAACAATTCACTGAAGTTCTCTAAACTTCTTTAAACTTTATATGACTTCTCTAATGTTGACGTTTCCGGATGTTCATATAATTTTTATCACTTTCCAGAAAACAGCCGGCGCCGGTGGTGTAGAGGTAAGCGTGACTGCTTTCTAACACCCCGATGGGTCTGGGTTCAATCCCAGCCGAGGTCGGTGGGATTTTTCTGAGGCATAAAAATCTCTGGTCACGTCTTTCTTCGGAAGGGAAGTAAAGCCGTTGGTCCCGGCCCATGTGTGTTGAATGGGTGCGATATCCTACGCAGGTGTGGAAGCTGCCTTCCTGCACATTCGATTGCCGTCAATGGATGGCAATCGATGTCCGTCGGTGATTGGCACTAGATTGCGGAACAGAGACCGACGTTAAATAAAGGAAAGAACTTTCCAGAAATTCTCTCGGAGCTGTGCACAAGTTTCCGGAAATTCCCTTTGATTCTCTGATCTGTCTTGATGTTTTCGGTGTTTTCCTAAGGCTCTCAATTCTATTGAAGATCTCGGTTCTGCTCGAAAATAAATGGAATTCCCGTAAGCACCTTTAAATTTCCCTGAAATTATCTGGACTTCTGTGAAGTTCTTGAAATATTTTTGAAGTTTTCATAAATTCTCTGAAGGTCTCTGTACTTCCTTAAATTTTCGGAACATCTTAAGGGTTCTCGATTTTTTTTTTCAGCACATCATAGAACCACAAACGAAGTGACAGACGACTAACTGGCGAAGAAATCCATTAAAATAATGTGGTTCACTGTAATAGAATTTTATTGGAAGCATGTGCCATCATCCACCAGATGGGTTAGTTTTTTTGTTTTGATTTGAACAAAGTTGATTTTGTGTACAATGATTCTTTGACAGTGTGCAAAGAGTGCGTATCATTTTGTCATTTTTTTATGCATTTCAGTTTTGAGTAGAGTGAAAGAGATAGAACCAAAACATTCCAGTACATTTGGTGAAAATGCTAGTTCAATCTAGTAGTAGTGTTGCCATGTGGTACAATCCAGTAGTAGTGGTGTTGCCATGTGATACACTGAAAAATTGAAATAGTAGGTTAGTCACCAAAGTTTTCGAGCCGCTCCGTCTGTCACTTCGTTTGTGAATAGAACTATCCTGAATGTTTCTAAATTTACGATTATAGATCTTTAAACTGCCCCAAAACTCTGAGCTAAAGTTACGGAAACTGCTATTAAGATCTGAAATTTCCCAAAGAGCCGGAGGCGAACCAGCCTCAGGCTGAAAGCCTCCCTAATAAAGAAAACTTAACTTAACTTAATTCCACAAAGATCTCTAGATCTAGCTTTTCTGAGGTGTTTATAACTTCTTAAAAATTTACACAAGTTTTCTATATTTCTCAAGTTCGCTTGACACCTGTGAAGTTCTCTGAAATTCTAGGAACTTCATAAAAGTTCCTGAATTTTTTGGATGCTAAAGGAAACGCTTTGAGGTTCTTAAAGCTTCCAGTAAGTTCCCCATTTTTTCAGCGGGCTAACTTCCCATATGTTCCCGCAGTTTATTTATGGATCTTCACGAAAATTCCAGCTTTTTCTTTCCTTTCCTCAGAACTTCTCCAAAATTCCTACATTTTTTGTGAATGGGACTGCAATGAAGATCTCTAATCTTCCATAAAGTGAATTACGAACTTGAAATACATAATATATTTGTTTTCCTTAATTCAGACACTTTGAAAATTTTACATATTTTGAACTTGTACTTGGAATACGAAACTTCAAGACATTGAATATTTTTTGATCTTGGACTTATTAAACTTAAGTACGTTTTTCTTTAACTTTTTTAAAGTGAGAAATTCAATAAGTGCTAAACTTCAACATTCAATGGATTTGATTATAAAGCTGTTTCTTTAAAACTGATTGCCATGTTTGAGTTGATTACTGTTGTTTTTGATCTTCCAAAAAAGCATATTTTGAACGCATTTTAAAAATAGCTTTCTTATTATAAGTTTGGAATTTATCCATTAAAGTTCTGGAAAAACTCTGGAAAACTCAAGAAATTATTTAGAAAAAATAGTTTTTCTCTATCTATGTACAGAGTATAGATAGAGAAAGACGATTAAACGTCACAAAGCAAAGAATGATCAATCTTGAAATAAATTCACGCTAAAAAAGTTGAAAATAGTGACTAATTACAAGAAAAAGTGACTTTAGTGACTTGGGCTTAAAAAAGGAGACTTTTTAGTGACTGGCTTGAAAAAAGTGACCAAGCCACTAAAAAGTGCTGCAAATAGTGCTGGAGGGGCCGGGCAGGGCTGAATACGGATCAAAACTAACATATCTCTTGTGAAGTTAAGAGTAGTTATATTAGTTATATATATTAGTTTTATTTTCCAACTAATTTATCTATGCTTCTTTCTATTGTTTGGATCAAGTACAACTAATACTAATCTACCTTTATGTATGCTTTACTCCCTTTTATAACGTGATTTCAATGGACTAAGGAGAAGGAATAAAATTACTTCGAACAGGATATCAACAAATTCAGAACCATTAGAGACCAGAAATCAACAAGGCACCTGTGAGTTATATACTCGGAGAGGTATTTGATAAATAATCAAAAAGTGGTAAGTTAAAACCATAGTGGAGCCAAGGATCATGAGAGGTAATTGTCAATAATTCATTAATTAGTAGAAATAACCATATTATCCTATAATTGATACTACTATTTTATATATCAATGAAATTAGTCATAACAGAGTAAAAGAAAGAGTTTAAAAACAGATGGGGGAAGGACAATAGACACAAGTTGATACAATACATTAGACAAGTTGGGGTTAATACACAAGACAAAATTACAAAATAAGTGACGACAGAAGACAAGACTGGGACAAAAATCAACCGTAAAAAAAAATAATGCACAATTATATTATCAAAACTATTTGAATCAACACAAAAACAACAGTGACCAAACGGGCACCATAGCCTACGAAAGTCTGTGTGTTGATTTAAAACAGAGGCTCATAGAAGTAAAATTTATCAATAAAAGGGGTCCAGTGTAGAGTTTAAGCTAGTGTATGCTGCCACTGTGATCACTACCAAAAAAAAATGACCGTTAAATGCCTGTTCTATGAACAACTTGCGAGTGCTATGTCTGTTTGTCTGTGGTAGTACAGCCAACCTTATCTGCCATGTGTGCCATGTTATGCTTAATTTAAATGAATATAGCATAATCGGAAGAAAAATCCAAAATTCCGGGATGAACGGGAAAACCACGGAATTGCTAATAGTTTTCACTTGTGGTTACCTTTTTACTCTACATATTGCCGGTAGGTAGCTCACCCACGCCATGCTAAAACTGCCATCAGATAGGGGAAATGTTTCTATAAAGAAATCCCCCTCCCTTACTACCGATGATTTGTGTCTTGTTAGCTAGGGCCATGCCGAAATAAAACAATATTTTGAGATTTTCTTCTTCTAGAACCACAAGAAAAAAATCAAAATTGTGCGTTTCATAAAAAAATAGTAACTTGTTGGTCCAGTTTTTTTTTAAATCGTCACGCCAAAAGTCTGATGCGCAGATGGGCTGACAAAATCGGTCATTACTGTAATTTCATTCAATCGTAATTCCAAATATTTCTCGTTCATCTTCAAGATTGATGTTTACGCTCGTGTTTAAGGTACACTTTGGTGCAATAAGACCCTTGAAAAAGCGCATGGGTTTCGTAAAACATTAGAAAATGTCTTCAAAAAGGGGCTGACAACATCGGGTCATTATGTATTGCCGCTGGAAGCATAATTGCCCCATGTGTATATGAAACTCTATAGAACAAGGGAAAATAATGCATCCATCGGCTGTTAGTACCTACTTCACTTGAGTAAACATAGAAGCCTTTCTGGATAAAACTATTCGGATGAAGAAATTTTATCGACTTATGATTTTTATTTCAATGGCAACAATTTATTAACAGTCGCTTTACCAACTACAAACAAGAACTTATCATCTTTCGATTCCGCGTTCCTGGACATCAGTTCCTTCGTAGCCTGGCGCCGGAAGCGGATTCAGCCTTATAAACTAAAACACTGGTACTGGATTGCACCCATCGAAAATTAGGGGCATCGGTTTTCAGTGAACGGAACAATACTCTCGGGAGGAAGAAACGACAAGATGGGAACGAATAAAGAGAATCCTAAAACTTCTTAATCTTCTCGTTAATCGCATCGACGTTTTCCAACAGTTTCTTCCACTGTGGCACCGTTAGACTGATTCCCTTCTTGCCTGGCATCGTTTTTCCGTCCTTTTCGTAGTACTCACGCACATTCACGTAGACCTTATTCTTGAACTCACTCACCGTTACCTTGCGGTTGCGGTCCAACGGCCATTCCTCTTCGCCCTTGTCATTAGTTGTGCTGCCGGAAGTACCGTCAGTTTTGGTTTTCTTGACCGGAGTACGCTAAAATGCCCACGTTTATTTAGAATGACGATTTGAGTGCTCCGGACAATACTTACATCATCTGGTCCGGAATCGGAATCCGAAGTATCTTGCTTCTTGTTCTTTGGCATGTTTAGATTTTGGCTTCAAGGAACTGAAACCAAACGAGCACTTTGGAGGTTATACTTTCCAGCTGTGCGGAACGGTATTCGCTTTATTCTGATTGAATAAAGATAACTAATTAGAAAATGCTACTCACCGATCAACAGATAAATAGGAACAAATTTAGGATTAAGTAACGATAAATTTCTATTTAAACTCTGTATTTTTTAATAGTTTTGCCGGACAAAAGTGTAAGCGGATGCTTGATTGTTTGACAACTAAAAACTGTAAAGAGCGCGGTGGAATAGTAATGGGCGATCCCGATTAGATTTTCGTTGAATCGATTTTCCTATGATATCCGATTAATCGATAAAAAAAAATTTAAAGCGTATTAGGTCTGTTCCTAACAGGCGGCGCCGGTGGTGTAGTGGTAAGCGTGATTGCCTCTCGCCCCAAAGGGCCTGAGTTCAATCTCAGTCAGCGTCGCCGGAATTTACTGAGGCATAAATTCATTGATCACGACAAGGATCACTTCTTCTTTCGCTTGGTCCCCGGTCCATGAGTTGATGGGTTGATATATACCTATAATAGGTACACTAATGGCGGTAAGCTTCAACTCGGATTAACTTTTAATACCGTCCCTGTTTGGATGATGTGCAAAACATTTGCTTAAAGTTGCGTTGATTAGCACTCATGTCGACATCAAAGCAGCCAGACATTCTTGATCGGGATTTAATCCGAGGATAATACCGGTTGGAGCTTACCACCATAAGAAAATTTCAAAGCAGGGGTAAATCCTTCCTTTGCTACTGCACAAACTTTTCTACACAAGATATGTTGTGAATGCGATAAATTAGCAATAATTAATCACTTCATTCGAGCAGTTAAAATCACAAACGAAGTGACAGACGACTTACTGGCGAAGAAATCCATTAAAATATTGTGGTTAACTGTAATAGAATTTTCTTGGAAGCTTGTGCCATCATCCACCAGATGGGTTAGTTTTTTTGTTTTGATTTGAACAAAGTTGATTTTGTGTACAATGATTCTTTGACAGTGTGCAAAGAGTGCGTATCATTTTGTCATTTTTTATGCATTTCAGTTTTGAGTAGAGTGAAAGAGATAGAACCAAAACATTCTAGTACATTCGGTTAAAATGCTAGTTCAATCTAGTAGTAGTGTTGCCATGTGGTACAATCCAGTAGTAGTGGTGTTGCCATGTGGTACACTGAAAAATTGCAATAGCAGGTTAGTCACCAAAGTTTTCGAGCCGCTCCGTCTGTCACTTCGTTTGTGGTTAAAATGACGTTTACTACACTCGAACTTTGAAATAAACCATTATTTTGAGATTTTTTCTTCTAGAACCTCGAGAAAAGTAGCCAACATTTATGCGTTTCATAAAAAATAGAAATTAGTTGGTCCAGTTTTGTGAAATCGCTGGTAGAAAGTCACGCCAAAACTACTTGACAATGTGGTCAATTGACCCATTGGGGTGAGAAAGCAGTCACGCTTCCCTAATAAAAATTGTATGGTTAATTTGCTTAACGACGTGTTCTGGGTATCATCCAAACCATTTGTGGAATAGTTCAAAGATTTGGGTTATCGTTCGTTTATCGTTATTTTTTATTAGGATTACCACTACACCACCGGCGCCGGTTAAAGAATGTTACTTGGGAAGATTGATATTTACCAATAACAGATCGGTTAAAAAAAATCTGTTATTCAAGCTACCAACAACGATATTATTTGAATATTCTCTTCTGGGACTAATTTTCTCAATTATTACTACAAAATATGCGTGATAATTTTGAAATGATTTATTGACATGTAGGGTTTTTGATCTAATTTCCGTCCTACTAAGCACAACCCGCGCTTTACCTCTCTTTTCTGAACGGGTTTAAACAAAAATGGAATATTTCTGTCAAAGATGACTTGCAAATGTATTCACCTTTCCATACGTACCGTTGGATTTGATAAAGAGTCACAAATTGTTGAGATATTGTCTAAAATCTAACACTGCTTCTTGATTCTAAATTCGTTCTACGAGTTTTAATTCCGTCCTAACGCATTGAAACGCCATTAGATTTTCTTCGTCCAACGGATAAACGTAGAAAAAGAGGGTTCGCTAGGAGCCCTTCTTTTGTTTTGAGAACAATGAGCGTAAATATTCATACAATGCGCTCTAACAGGATTTATGTTGTAGCTAATGAACTAACGCATCGGAACAAACCTATTATTGATTAAAGCACGGTGAAATCATTGATATTATTGATCTTTTCTGATCAATAGAACGGAAATGGGCGATTACGACGAAGTAGCGCTCTACCCTATACATTTGTTTTCGAAAATAACAGCTGCAGCTCATCAAACGCAACAAAGGATTTCATTGAAAAGAAAATACCAACAAACGCCGGCTGCGGAAGCACAAGGAGAACGAAAAAAAGAATGTTCGTGCTGATCAGTGCAACCAGAAGAGTGGTCAGCAAAAAGATCGTTTAGATGAAAATAATGCAACTTATCAAATAGGGGATAGTACAGGTATACCTCGATATAACGTAACTGTCACTTTTGACTTCCATCGGCAATATCTCGCTTAAAACAATTGAATCTTATACATTATTATTACCTATAGATTGGAGATTATCTCATCTGTCCGATGTTGTTATTACTTTGCTTGTTTGAATGATCGTTTGCTAGAAATCGGTGGTGGAAGTCAATAGTGACAGTTACGTTATATCGAGGTACACCTGTACCAACAATCAATACGAAACTAACGATTTTAAATTGGCTCACCACTTTAGTAGCCTATTGGTCCCAAGCAAACGATTAACGTACCCTATTCTAGTCGAAATTCTATTACTACACTATGTTTGTTTTGGTTCGCTATGAAAGTTTGACAGATAACATCAGGGGTGTGTGGATTCATGCAGAACATGCAGGGGTGAGTGAAATAGCTTGGGACTGCTTGGGACCGTTGTTCTGGTACTGAGTGAGCCAAAAATAATAATGATTTTCTTCGGGACCCAGTGGTCTTAGAGTTACCTCTATGATAGTACGTTGTATTTGAAAAATAAAAGCGGGAAGGGATCTAATTGTAAATAATGAACTAATAGGCGAGGGGGCCTTATAAATAAAAATAAAAAAATTGCATTATAACACACCATCGACTGGAAATGCATTCGGCAACTTGGGATTTAGGTAGTGATGAAACTTCGCTACTTAGAACTATTCCACATCCGCAGACAGTACATCTGGATCAACAATAGAAAAGGACCCATCAGCATTTGTAAACAAACCGTTCCAAAGCCCTCTACTCACAAAGCCAAGGCCACCCACGCAAACCAACACCATCATTGGATAGAGGAAACTTCTATCTACACGATGATGGTGTTGGTTTGGTTGGTTGGTGTGTATATTATGAGCAAGACAAACTCGCACTTTTTTGCCTGTAGATTTGAAGAAATGCTTAAAATTTTCTCATCCATTCATGTATGAGTTAGCTAAAGAAGTATGCGTTTGACTACTGTGTTACCTGACTTATAACGAATATACGTTGTATACGATTACCCCGAATACAACGTATGACTCGTCTAATTTAAGGTTAAAGGTTAAAGTTCACATCTATGGAGTCTTTAATCAACACCATGCTGACTTCATTCTGGACTCTGAAAATGAATGTACTCCCAGTCGTTGGGGATAATGAAACATTGCAGTTCATTTTTGACAAAACTGCTAATTTAGGACTGTAATTTGGTTCACCACATCAAAAACCAACAAAATTGCTATTTGGACTTTTTACTAACGAATATTTATGAAGATTTCTGTGTGAACGAATCATTAAATCCACTGTGGAAAAATGAAGCGTTTCACACAGCAATTGAATATTCTTTATTTGTGCATAAAAACCAAAGACCCAACGACTGCGAATACGAAGAAGTCTTTGAATACAAATTAGCAGACTACGAAAAAATAAAATTTAAATTAAACAATGTCAATTGGAAATTAATTTTAAGGAATGTAGGAAATGTCGAAATTGGTATACTGCCCATAAATGAGAAATTGGCTAATAAGCCATTTTTGTCAAAATCGAGAAAATGGTGTTAGTTGATATGTGGCACTTTTGTCAAGGTCCCCACTGTATACAATTTTGAAAAAATTGATTCGTGCGGATAAACGACTTGAAAAACTAGATGGCTAATGTGCAATATAAATGAGAAATTGTCTAATGTGCATGATCAGTCTCAAACCGAGCGCAGCAACCAGTGTGTTTTTAATAGGGAATTTTTTTTTAACATCAAGTAAGATGGTTTTATAGTCAAGTGGACACAGGCATCATGTTGAAAATCGGAAGATTCAGGACTCTTTAATTAAATATATTATGGAAAGAATGTTTTTATTTATTTATGACAGCTTTATTGATGTATAATAAATGGAAAGAGCAAGGGAAATGAAAATGGTAAATGTTACAATATAATCACACATTATTATTATGCTCCTTCATTGGTATTATGATTCTTCATCCGATATGTCATCGTGGGTTGGAAAGTTATACCAGTACATTTTTTTGTCGGGAGGCAACAACGGTAGAATTTTTTGTATTATTCCTTGCTTACGTGTAAGTTCGACTCCTTTTGGTAACATCCGGAAATGCATCGTAGATGAAATTTCGAAATCAGCTGATTGAACTTTTGCTGATTTGTTCTCTGGTGAAGAAGTTGCACGATTTTGTTGCTCCAGAAAATTCATTGGCGTACGTAAAATTATACGATCCTCTTGAAAATATGATAAGCTTCACCTCATTAAGTTTCGGTCGAGGTCTCAGCTTGGTTGTCGGTTTGCATGTCATATCACAGGTAAAAAAATCAAATGCCTGCATTTTCACTGCGACGGAATTTTCTTGAGCAGTGTTGACACAAGTATAAAAATCTTCAAATGTATGAACTTCCCCTTTATCAGCTGATTTCATTCGTTTTTCAACAGCATGATGGAACGAATCAGCGGACATAAAGGTGTGTTCCGGTTCAAAATACTTAAATTCAATAACGTTAGTCTCAAGCAACGTTGAATTTACAAGAAGGATCATAAATAAGAACAGAATCCAGTTCTTATTCTGACTACTACAATTATCTAGCCAAAGCACAATATGCTTAGCGCTCCGCTCAATTTGCAGATATTTTAGAAAGCAGCTCGTGATGTCTGATGCCTTTCTTCCGCTAATGGATTCATCCCAAACGAAACCATAAACTAAACCATGCTTTGCTCCTCCAACTGGAGCAA